ACTGATATGATATTTGAATTTGAATTGAAATGCAATTTGAGTAGTTTGGATTAGGGTTAAGCCAAGTATGGTGTCGACAAATAAATTACTTGACAGTTTTAAGACAATATACGCAATGTTTAATAATAATAATCAACTAATTTAACATTTAATGATTCAAAGAACAAATTTTTTGTATATATAGGGTATTAAAATTAAAATTCTGGGGCTAGAGATATCGACAAACTTAAAGTGGAGTCATACTGAAATAAATCCGGCCAAAGAATCATTTAAATTTTTAGATAGCCGATTAAAGTGAATTTTAAATTAAGGATAATATCTTCACTTGCATCATTATAAGGATAATCATTATTATAATATATATAAAATTTTAGAAATTGAAATTTCAAAATAGAAATATCTTTTGAAAGATAAAATCATATCAAATAAGAGTTCAAGTCGTAGTATAACAGTCATGTCGTATTCAAAGAATCGTTTATATCGTGTCAACCTTTGTGTTTTGCCATAAATATGAGTTATTATTTCACTATGTGGCCATTTTTAGGTTCCAATAACACTTATGAGAATTGAGAATAGTGCAAAAACCAAACTATCACTACGAGAATTGAGAAAATGTCAGTCTTTTTTCATGTAGTGTTTCTTAATTAATATCTGACGATTATCTATAATTATTGAGAAGGTTTAAATGTTAAGGTTATTTACATATAATTCTAATAACTAAGATATTTAACATGATTAATGTCAAATATCAAAATGGAGCAAAAAAATTCACTAGCTAAAGAATTTTTTATATTTTTGGATAGCCAACTAAAATGAGTTTTGAATTAAGAATAATATTTTCAATTACATTATTATAAAGATAATTATTATTGAAAATTAATGTTTTAGAAATTGAAATTTTAAGAAAGAAATATTTTTTTAAGAGATATCAACACACCAAATAAGAATTCAAGTAGTAGTAAAAGAGTTAAGTCTTATCCAAAAAGTAATTCATTGTCTCAACATTTGATTGTTTTGCCATAAATATGAGTTATTATTTTGCTTCCTGAATATTTTTAGGATCTAATGATACCGACAAGAATGATATCAAAAAAAACAAATAGAAGAAATGGTTAATTTTTTTCATGTAGTTAATATCCAATGATTATCTATATTTTTACTGAGAAAGCGTAAATTTTAAGATTATTTACATGCAATCCAAATAACTTAAATATTTGATATGATTATTGTTCGCGCATCTGCGCGGGTACTAATACTAGTTAAGGAAAACATCACCAAATTAATGTGACAATCCTATCTTCCGAACTATGTCGTTAACGTAACTAAGTGAATAATTTATATAACCACTTGGTAGCGCTTTTTCCATTTTGTTAATTCACTTATCCCATTAACCTTTAAGGATTGGAAAATAATATCCCTCACGTTTTGAATGGAAAAGGGAATCCCCTTATGCAACAGTTTTTCGGTGAAACAATTCTTTTAATAAAAATCTTTTCTTTTTTGAATAGATATTTTTTAGAATAACCAAGTTCTTTCATTATAGCCAAAAACTCAAGATATAAGAAAGTTCCGAACTATATAATTTATGGAGTTCCCTTTTAGCCTTCTTCTTGCATAATTTAAGATATGATATAATGCAAAAATGCCTCCATAATAAATTTTTAAATGTGACATTATCAACTATAATTTCTGTTCAATAAAGATATTTTCAAAATAATTAAAGTTTAATAATTGCTTTAGTATAATATTATTAATATACAAAGAAAATACATAAACAAATTAATACTTATGACAACAATGCTTTCATCTAATATATATGTCTGAGAATTGACCATCTTAATGTATTTTTCCCTTCAAATTGAAATGCTAAAGTATCCATGGTGAATGTGCGTTCATCATATTTTTTGAATTTTGTATGCAAGATTTTTTTCTTTATTTGCAAAAATTTTAACAACGGCCTTAGTATAACCTCAATATAATAGAAAAATATCTTCAATTTTACAAGCAAGAAAGACGAAATTCAAGTATTAGTTTGGATGAAAAATATCATACTTCACCTTTGAAAGGATAGAGAGAGAGAAAAAATCTTTCTTTTAAAAAGAAACTCTCACAAAAAAAATATTGCATAAGGGGGGGTTCCCTTTCCCATTCAAAATGTGAGGAGAGTATTGTTTCCCGGCCCTTAGAGGTTAAGGGGGTAAAGTAAATTTTACATTTTTTTTTTGGTTTGCGATAATTCTTGAAAGATTTATTTTTAAAAAAAATGTAAAAGGAAAAAAAAATCATGAGACCAAACAATTAAGAATATATCTTTTTTTATTTCTTTTCCTTTTTTCCCCTCGCAATAAACCATATACATATATAAACGTAATAAATGCTGATCACATATTTTGACAATCGCCAATCTCTATTTTAATTACCATATATTAAAATGCTTCCTTCAAACTATTTTGAACCACAAAGAACCAAAGAAAACAATTATGCTAAACTTAAACCATACCATACTAGTGGAAATGTTTTGACTAAAAAGGAAGAAAAATTAAATTTGAACAGAACAGGGGTGGCTCAAGGGGGAGGCTAGTAAAGCCTTTCTTTAGGCCCCCTAAATTTTGGGGCCCCAAAAATATTTTTAGTTGTGAATTTATTATTTCGCTTAAATAATATTGAAGTTTATAGAGAAAAAAAATAATACTAAATCCTTATAAAATGAAAAGAAAGACTATCTATTTTTTAACAATAGAAGTATTTAGAACTTTGAATTAAGATACTCAAATCTTCATATTGATAAATAATATTTTTTTATAATGAGATCCAAGGTAACCAAATGTAAATACGTGGCTAACATCTTATTAACTTGAATTTTCTTACCAATGGGTATATTAATATTATATTTTATAAGATAACACTATAGACAAAAAGAAAGAAAGAAAGAAAGAAAGAAAGGAACGAAGGTAATATTAATACTATATTTTGCAAGATAACTATACTATAGATAAAAAAATTAAGGTCTCGTACTAAAATTTGACTTGAGGCCACGAGTTTTATTAAGACGTCTTTAGAATAGAAATAGAAACCAGCGGGGCTAGAGACGGAAGCCAATGAAATTCTAGACGGAAGCCCAACATGGCTAGAAGAAGCCGCCTTTAAATTTTAAAATGAAGCCATGCAGTCGAATGTGAGATGCCGTGAAGTGGCAGTTATAAGTAATACTCCCTACTACAAATTAAACCTTTAGTAATAACACTAATAATGAAGAAGAATTTCTTTTTTTCTAAAGGAAAAAGAAATTTAATAAAGGAGAGAGACATTCAAAATTAAACTCACAGATTGCATGAGTGACCACGCTAATTAATACCACTACTATAACTCTTGGTGAAAGGGAGATTACTTCTCTTTTTTAAAAAGAAAAAAAAGAAAAGAAAAAGAGATTACTTATAAGGGAGATTCTTCAAATTTGATGACAGTACACGAACCCGGAAAGCAGGACAAGGCACCCCGCCGTAAAATGAAGTACTGGATAGAAAGTTAAGAGGAATATTAGTAATAATGAAAAAAGAACCTTCAAAATCAAGAGCTCAACGAAAAGATTAATTAATGCATAAATATTGTTTTTTCAATCATCAGCTACTCGAAACTCATTTGGTCTAGTTAATTCGGATTCACATTTAAATAAAAAATATTCTTTATGAAGAATTTTATTTACAAGACTCAAGCACGAGATATTTGATTAAGGGTAGATTTTGAAATTTATCCATATTGCCTCACTCATTAGTGGTGATAGCATAAATAGTGTTGGTCCTTCTGTTCTTGCGCCATATCTTCTTGATTTATCACACATACCTGATATATTTGATAGAACTTTTAAATTTACCATTTTAGAATGGTGAATCTATTCCAAATAGATGCACTTTTCAGGTAGCGGTTGCAAACATATTTATTACCGTTAACAATTCGAAATATATATGTTTTGTGAATTTTGTTATAAATTACACGTATATTTAGTAAAAAGATCGCACACCATTTTCCTAAAAAATGGTGCGTGCGATGTTATTATATCAATATCTAACTTATATATACTGAGAATATAATATATATTTTTACAATATTCGTGTATGTTAACTGGTTATAGCTAGGTAATTATCATATCTACGATATTCCCAAATTCGATTTATTTGATAATGTAAAAAAAAATGTAGTCATGCATAAAAGTTAAGGTTAAACTTTTAATTTATTTATGCTACCCCACGTACGCACATCCTTACTATTTTGGGGGTGTTTGGGGTGTTTGGG